CACCCATTTAGAGGATAAACAAGATGAGAGCTGCCGAGAGAGAGACCAGTGTTGGAGTGACAGATGGAATCAGGCGTGTTTGTGGTGGGTGGCATGTATGTGGCTATTAGCCTGTTAGCAGGTAGCCACTGATTTGTGTAGTTTTCTTCAGTATTTCCTGGTTCTGATTTAGTGGTACAACAGGTGGAAACAGAAACCGCAACCGGTCTCGATAGTGGAAAAGCGGCCATTTACTTGAAATTCTTGATAAGTCTAAATGTTTCAACTTCACTTTTTAAGAAATCAAAAAGATCTTTCCACAAGAACCTTAAATAAATCAAAGTATTATTTTTAAAAGTTGAAATTCAAGGTTTTTTACTTTTTTGCTGAATCTAAATGCTCCAGTTAAATGCGTAAAAAATTCACGATGAAAAAAATCTTGTTACATATACATATATGTAAAGTATGTCTATCTATCTATCTATCTATCTATCTATCTATCTATTTATATCCCTCTCTTTCAACCCACACATTATATATATATATATATATATATATATATATATATATATATATATATATATTTGTGTGTGTGTGTGTGTGTATGTGTGTGTGTTGTATACACGTTTGCTCATGAGACTTTATGACTGATATATGTGATGTTTGTATTTGTGCCTCATTCAGAAAGTGATCCAGGCTCAAACACTTAAACATGTATAATATCACCGTAAACAGTCAGGGCTAAACTGCTCTTCCACTCTTAGTGACTTTGTTTACTTCCTCACTACTTAGTTATGTAGAAACTTCACAAAATACTGAGATTCTCCTTTAACATAGTAACATTTTTAATGTGTGTTTTGAACAAATTTTTGGATGTAAAAAAATCCCAGTAGGAACTAAGTTATCAGTATTTTCTTTCTCCAAGAGTCAGAATGTTACTGGGTTGCCATGGTGATATTAACCTCCTGTCGAGAAAAGTCCTTTACTGTGTGGGCCAGAGACAATTCACCAACACCGTCCTCCTCAGTGTTTGGGCAGTGAAACGAGACGAGCTCTAACACCACCTAGACAAACAATGTGTGTCTATTACAGCACTGCTGGGTACTGAGACACAGCTCTGAACCACAGACTGATACACTTAGATAAGTGCCTCTCTCTCTCTCTCTCTCTCTCTCTCTCTCTCTCTTTCTTTGAATGCTTTTTAATGTTTTACACCCTCTGTGTTTCTTTCTTGATTTTTATTTTCTTTCTCTCTCTTTTTCTCCCTGTCGTTCTTTATCTCTCTCTCTCTCATATTCACTCTTTCTTTACTTGCAATCTCCCTCTTAATCTTTCTTTCTCTGTCAGTCTCTACCTCTTTCTCTTTAGTGCCCTGTTTCTTTTTCCTTTCTATCCTCTTTTCTCTCTGTCTCTCACACTCTTGCTTTCTCTCCCAAACTCTTTTCTCTCGTCTCCCTCTCTTTCTTTCTGTCTCCCTATTGCTATCTCCCTCTCTCTCCCCGAATCACTATCTTTTTTTTTTCTCTATCCTCCAATCTCTCTCCCTCTCTCTTCTTTCTATCCTCATATTTCTCTCTCTCTCTCTCTCTCTCTCTCTCTCTCTCTCTCT